AGGGGCCTGCTTCCACAATATATAATTTGTGTAACTCAGTACTCACTCAGTTTTTTTCTCCTGTTAATGTAAGCCTTGTGTAGATATAATGATGACAATGAAGTGACACCGGTGCACAGCAGTGGTGATCTGAGCTTTGTATGTCTAGATTTTATTTACATACAGATGAAGTGGGCCAAAGTAAATGGCAAGTGGTAGCTAGACTCCCAGGGTGCAACAGCTTTTCTAAATATGAATGTTGTCCAGGGAATGGAACAGTATTATTTATCTATATGTATATATATGCTGCCCTTTCCAAAAAGGAGTTTAGGGTTGCTTACAATTAAAGACAAAATAAATTATAAAAAGAGAATGAAATATTAAAATTAGAAAGTATACCAAACATCCAAATATCTTCCCCAGCCACTCCTGCCTCCTGACTCTGACTTGGGATAAGGGTACCACCACACAGGGCATTGGGGGAGCTGGGTTCTATAAATAATGGTGCTACATATTCATTAATGTACTTATGATAATGTGCATTACATTTAGTACCTCCATTGTGAGGTACTAGAAAAAAGCGTATTAGCCTATTTAATGCACATTAGTGAAATTGGACTTTTTGTGATGTTTTAATGCACATTAAAATAGGTTACTGCACATTAAAGCACACATGTAGATGTGTCCACTGTGTCCTTCACCAAGTCATCTCACCGTTCACTTCCTCTCTTTTCCTTCCAACTCTTGTTCTATTTAGCTCTGAAGGTGTGTTTCAGGATTTTCATGCATTAGATTTTTACACAACGTCTACCACAGCACGGCCCTGACAAGTTCCAACTCCAGTACTCCGTAGTCTAAAAACAGTTTGGTGTAAACGTTGCCAATTTGGGGAGAATTGCCTGGAAACAGAGAAAAGTCACATGCCCAACACAAAGTGGAATATTTCACCACAAAGCATTAATGTCTGGTAAAACTATAAAAAATGGAAAACAGGACCTTGGAATGAGTGTATCAAGCAAGTTATCAGCCTTGTCCATAACACCCTGAGAGAAAAAAGGAGGGTCTTGTGGTTGAGACGCTAAACTGAGAATCAAGAAATATTTGGTCCAATTCTGCGTAAAAATGAACGTTGCCACACACTTCTCCTGTGACTTTGGGCACAGCCCTTTTAGGTCACATGTTTAAAGATATAAAATGCCAGAAGCTGGAGATGCTGCCTGGACAGACTTCAAGTATTCTCAGGTGTGGAGATGTCCTCAATTTCATAAAAAATTCCACTGCCCTGCTCCGTACGTTCTTAGCCTTGTAAGCCCCTTTTGAAATCTGTCTCTTAAACTCATCGCATTTCTGTGTGCTCCACCACCCTGTGCTTGTCTCTCAATCAAGACTGCAAGGTCTCTAGGGCAGGGACTGTGTGCTCAGCACAGAGTAAGAGAGCTCTGAACTTGGCTGAGGCCTTTCACAGTGTTTTCAGACCACAAAAGTTCAACCACAGCAAAACCAGTGAATTTACCTGTGGGATTATGATGCAGGACCTGATGGAGTCATTGAATCCCATCCATTGCTGGTAGTCTGGGTAGCTTCCCCTCTTCAGAAAGTACTGATGACCTAAGTAGTTGCTGCGCTCGTAGATCATCCAGCAGCCACTTTCCACCTTGATGGAGTTGCAGCGGCTTAGGTGAGAGTGCATATCGGGCTGATCCGAGGTAAGCTCATGGGAGCGGCCCTCAAAGTTTCTGCCCTCATAGAAAATGATCTGCATAAAAATGAAAGGCAATGCTAGTCATTAGAAAGCCTTAATTTGAAACATTGGCTCTGGCCTTCTGTTTTACACAAGTTCTGATCCACAGCCTATCCAAATCAGTGGCAAAGTTTCTAGTGTCCAGGAGAAGGGGAGCTACTTTGGCACGCTGGGAATTTTTTGCCAACTGGCAGCTAAAATAGTATAATTCATATACATCTCTTAGAATGACTGTAGGTTGCGGCCCCTGCATGAAAAATTCCACAAACCAGAGCTGCTCCCAGTCACCATAATGCTGCATGCTACTGCCCGTATCCCTTGGGGTTTTATATACAAGGGACCTGCATTGGGTGAAGTCTCATAGATTCATAGATGTTAGGGTCGGAAGAGACCTCAATAGATCATCGAGTCTGACCCCCTGCATAGGCAGGAAAGAGCGCTGGGTTTAGATGACCCCAGCTAGATGCCTATCTAACCTCCTCTTGAAGACCCCCAGGGTAGGGGAGAGCACCACCTCCTTCAACCTATTCCAGAGCTTTCAGACTTTTCTAAATTACTGCAGTAACATTCAGGGACCAGGCTGAGAGGGAGCATCCCTCCTATTTAAGTCAGGTCCTACGCTTGTTGAATTGAATGGCAAAGCTCCTATTGAGTTGAATGGTGCAGAAACACAGTGGTGGTCTCCAAACTAGGTGAAGCATTAGTTTAACAACACCAAAGAGTCAAACAGTGGCAGCAGTAACTGCAAAGTTCTGGTTTAATGCAGTGTGAGGAGTTTTCATCTCTTTGTATTTAAAAAAGCATAAGAGGGAGAATTTCCAGATTCATCCCAAACTACAGTTTTCTCATAATCATCTATTAATGTCCTCATTTTAAGAAATATATAAAATGGGCTTTTAAAAAAAAATAAAGACATAAAATTAAGCAAACTAAACAGAGAAACAATTCAAGTTGTTTCACAGACAAAGCAGATTTGACAATATTCACTCATTTTTCTTACCTTTGCCATTTTAGCTCCTGTTTAGGTGTGAGACTTCACTGCTCTGCAAGGATCAAGTGACCTTTATATAGGAAACAGTGCTGGGTCCACGTGAATTGGACAAAAGAGACCGTTTTGCTCAGTAAAGCAAATTAACAATTATTTTTCCTTCCTCATCATCAAAATTATTCTTTGTAAACTATTGTTTTTATCTTCTGTTTACTGAGTGGCAACTTTATTGTTACTGAAAATAACTAAGGATCAGAGAAAGAGTATGTCCTGCAATAATGTCATTATTTCCCTTAGGGATCGTGTTCAAGAGAAAATGCTGGTACTGCTGCCACCAAATTGTTTCCTGGCATTTAGTGTTAATCTCTCATTGTTCTCTGATCTCATGAGAGAAAGACTTGTTAAAATTTGCATGAGTTCTCCATGACATTGAAAAGTACCTCTGGCATCATGCCAGTAGAACTGCCTGACTTTGAATCAGGCCTATATTTCCAGTCACTTTGGGGAAAAAAATGTTTTTTTTCTTGGATCATTTTGGGTGATATTGCAGTTGTGGTGGTGAATGATCACACTCAATCAAACTTCTGTGTAAAAATGGGTGCATCTACACGTGCCCTATGGCAACATTGTTACTGCGCCGTGAGCATGGCACATGGTTAGTTTCAGCAGCGTGCTAAAATGGGGGAGTGTGCAAAATAGCTGCCAGTCACATGTAGACTCATGTAATCACTACATTGCTGTAGCATGTCATACGGCGACATAGTGTATTGCTATGGCGATGTCAGGTGACGTGTAGATGCGCCTGATGGGTACTAATTCACTCTAGAATTGAAGTCTAGTCACACATACTCAAAATGTGGAGTAACAGTGAATGCTTAAATCATTCTAGTATTTAATTCCAGTCACACACAATCAATATTGTGTGTCATGGAGCCCCAAACCCATCTAAAATTTAATTCCACTATTTAAACTGAAAGTTGAAAACACTTTAATTACAAGGGGACTATCAAGGTTTAAAAATGAATACACTCATCTTAGGAGAGTGAAGAGAGATTTTTTTCCTCTCACAGTGGACAGAAAATAGCCTAATTTATTTAGCTGATGCTCATTTTGATAGAATTCATGTATTTTAGTAAAAAAATATTAATACTTTATACAACATTTTTCTGTGCAAGGAAAAAATTGTCACAGTCAAGCATAACATTTTTATTAAGTAGAAGAATTTGTATGGGTTTCTTTAGTGTCTCCAGGCAGGTAGGTTGAGATTGGACACGTGACATTGATTCTGGTTCCTTGGTTCCTTGGTTGGCTTGACATGCCAGCACTGTTATTATTTAATCTTTATATTGCAGTACTGTAGTACCTAGATGGATGCAAGGAGATCAAAAGAAGTCACTCTGGCTATTTCTTGCAAGTACTGGGTAGATTTAAAAAACAAAAAAGCAAAAGGTGTTGTGTTGTTAATACTGCACTGGAACGTGCTGGCAAAGCTCCCTACTTCTTGCCTGGATCTCACTTACATTCATGGGACTTAACATGAGCACAGAGGTTTGTGTGTCCAGATCTGGATGTAACCTCAGGGTCTGTGTGTTTGTTTCCATTCAGAGCCAAACTAGTATTAACATAATTGGGGAAATCATTCAATCCATAGTGACTTCTTTGGAGCCCAGGATCCAAACTGCCCCTTTGATTTTTCAGCTCATCTTTGTAATTTTTCTGGCCTCTCACACTTATCCCTTTATTTCTCCTTATTCCTTTCTCTCTCTCTCTCTCTTTACTTAAACGATTAGTATCCAATCTGGTCTGCACATATTCACATCACTTCTCCATCTCCTGCTGCACAGAACAAACTTCTTGTTGCCTTGCTGCCTCGTTACAAATACCACCTGTAAATGTTTATACATGTTCCCACTAGCTTATGTCTCACCATCACTTTCTCCTGCTGTTTGTTGTTGCATCTGCATTTTTCATAGTAATGTCAGCAAAAATTTTGAGACAAAGGAGAAGATCTTCAGGTACTTTACACTGGCATGGCTCCAGTGACTTCACTCATTTACACCCATTTAGGATCCAGCTCCCAAGTTATATGAAAGATTTTGTACAATGTAAGTGTATACTGTAGCTAGTATTGTGAATCCGGTCCAGTGGTGTCTGAAGACAAGAGATTTTTTTGGTCCTCTCCCAGTCAAATAATTGCAGTAACAGCTTTTCTACATTTCAAAGTTAATGTAGATTAAGATTTGGGATGAAGTTAAAGGACAAAAGATGAGTATCTCTATATGTAGATACCTTTATTCTGGAGCAACAGTGTGGCTCCTATTTAGTTTAACCCAGTATAGGTCAATCCACACAGGAAAAATGAAGTAATCAAGAATGACTCTCCATGCAGGGTTCTGCTTATATTTCCTAAAACCCCCAGTATTTTGCAACAGAGACAAAATCTTTAAAAAAAATTTTGACATCTATTTTCCTTTCTGAGACATGCTTCACTTGGGAAATCTTATTCTTAGGGTTTTGTTGCCTATACAGTAGATTACTGATTTCAGTATGGCTGCAAGAATATGCTGAAATCATAGGACTGGAAAGGACCTCAAGAGGTCATTGTGTCCAACCCTGTGTTGAAGGCAGGATTGTCTCAAATCATCCCAATCATGTGTTTCATCTAACCTATGCTTAAAAACTTCCAGTGATGGAGATTCCACAACCCCTTTAGGCATCTATCCTTGGTACTGTACCAGCTTCACAGTTAGAATTTTTTTCTTTATATTTTACCTGTTCTTCCTTATATCTAGCCTTGTTGCCCTGTCAGCCCATTGTCCCGTTCCCTATGGACACACAGAACAATTGGTTACCATCCTCATTACAACAACCTTTTTTATATTTGAAATTTGTTGTGAAATCCCTCTAATTCTTGTCTTCTCCAGACTGGATAATCCCAGTTCTTCCAACCTTTCCTCATATGTCACACTTCCTATTCCTCTAATTGTTTTCCTCCTAGAACTTGAGTGATGAGGACCCAGGAGCAGATTGCATGTGTAGATTGCTATGCATTCATAAAACAATATGAATTCTGGGGGTGCACAGCCTTTTGTTATTTCCTTTCAATGGACAGTTGAGAGGCTGAGTTTTGCTAGCAGTCATGCAAAACACATTCTATGCTTGGATGCTCAAACATTCACCAAATTCTGAAGGTGAATTATGAATTGTAAATATGGCAGTGGTAATCCAAATGTATGTAGCCTAAGTGTTGGGAGTATGTCCTCAGGGAAGTGAGGAAAGAGTTAATCTCTGGATCACAGGTATCTGCCCACCACATTGCAGTGATCTGCAAAGGAGAATGGTGAAGCCAGCTCTGCCGGTTAGAGGGAGAAACCAGTGAATTAAGCTGTACCTTCCCTTGTCTGCTAGATGTGCTGGCCACAGATGGTAATGGCTGCTGCTATCACCATACTGTATGCTTCCATTGGCTGTGCCACAGCAACTGTGCTGCCAGAGTGTCAAGTGCACACTGGTAAGGTACCAGCTACTGATGGAAGTGAGCTATCGCTTAGTTCCCAGGCAGCACGAGAAGCCGTATTTCTCTCAGCAGAGGTGGATCAAGTCTGTTGGCAGAATGAAGGGCTCAGCTACCACAGAGCAGCTTTGCATATGCACACACTCAAAGCTGTGCCAATGGGACTGGAATTCTGCCAGAAAATGTGTAGCATATGCCAGGTCTTAATGTTAGATCCTGTCTCCTGGTCCAAAATGAGCTTACTGAGACACATCCAGAGTCTGTAATAACGGCATTCTCCACTGTTCTAAGAAGATCCATACCCTACAGTAGTAAAGTACTCGCAGCTCATCAAACAGCTGTCTTGAAACAGACTTTAAAAATTTGATCCTCAGGCATGATCTATAATGGGAGATAGCATGCAGCATTTGCTACACACTATTAGGGAGCTATTACAGACTTAATTGACCATTAAGCCCATTAATTCCATGATGATTTCCATTACAACTTTGAGGGCTTGGGTCTCTGCTGGTATTAAGTCCATTTTTCATCCTCATAGTCCAAACTTTTTCATTAGTTACATTAAACAAATGATAAGTCTCAAATGTGCAGGTCTCATGTCAACATTGAAGAGACATCCCTCCCCACAAGAAAAGCAGCACACAAAAGCCTGGATGTGCTATATTAGCCTGAGAGAATTTCAGCCAAAATTTGTTTTCAGAGAAGTGACTAGGTTGTCTGATAGTGACAGCTCTCTCCCTCTCCGCAGGCTCTTTATTCATGTAACACCTATTCAAGAAGATCAGAGTATTTACCAACACAAATAAAGAAAGCCTTTCAAAACTGTCTTGAATCAGGAATTACTAACATTCCTATTTCACAGATAGGACCCAAAGTGTGTGGATTGTTTAAGAAAAAACTGCCTATAACTCTTAATATTCTTCCATCCCTAATCACAGATCTAACTTTCCTCTCTAGTACCAAAAAGAATACTCAAACCAGCAAATAACCCATGCTTTTTTTTATACAGCTATTGTGCTAATTGCACCAGATCTTCAGCTGGAGTAAATTGGTCCAGTTCCATTGACTGCACTGATTAATGGCAGCTGGAGATCTGATCTGTTGTCTTGATAGACACTTATTACAGCCTTGTTTAAGGCAAGTAATATATTTTGATATATGCATAAAATATTGGGGTTTTTTTATAGTCTTCTACCGTTTTGTGGAGGAAGCAAGCAGGTTGTGTGCTTTAACTGATAACTTTCATGGGAGCCTTGAAAGGCTGGTTTAGCAAATGCCAAGACACATGCTATTCTATTTGTTAATGACATGGTATAATTACTATAGATGCCAAATACCTTTCATTTCTAAACAGGGAAACTTGGGTTTCCAGCTGTGCTTCTCATCTTTGCGGAATGGTCAAGGCAACATTTCTCTGTTCTGACTGGATCCAGGGGTTTTATCCTATATACATCAGCTTTAGGGCTTGATTTGCATGAGCTGAAAAACAGGAATCCTGCTCTGCCCTCTGACCCACAAGACCATTCTTTGCTGTGCTGAAGTGAGTGGTATTTATTCTTTGAATTTCTAC